GTGTGTGTGTGTGAGTGCGCGCGCGTGTGTATGATTTCTTTGTTTACATGAGCTAATATTTTTCTTTTCATAATTATTATTTTGTATTTGGATTTATTGTAAAGCGCGTAAAGTTGTGTGTACACGGGAGAAGGCGATATATAAATGATCTTCATTATTATCATTACCAGAAAACGGTGTTTCTTTACTTGCTTGTCCACTAAAAGAAGTGAAAGTTTTTCTCTGCTTGTAATCGGAATATCTGGCCATTGTTCATTCCTCCCTTATGTAAAGGATGAAGATAAAACAACCAATCTCATTGTACCCTTTTGAAGTAAAGATCAGAGAACTGAATATCAACAATGATACAGAATTCATTTTAAATCATGATGATTAACTTTTTAAATCTTTTTTTTTCTTTCCTTTCAGCATTGGGAGTGTAAACTTCTGAACACTCTGTGGCAGTATGCACTAGGGGCAAATTACATGTGGATCTTCGTGGAAGGGTTGTACCTCCACACTCTAATCTTCTTCGCCGTGTTCTCTCAGTCCATGCGTTTCTTTAGTCTCTACATCATTATCGGATGGGGTAAGCTTGATGTTCACTTTGACAGAGTTCATTTCATTTTTTTGTTTTGTTTTGGGGATTATATTTACACGTTTTGTCATCTTGTTACCTGGGCGAATATCTCCTGTATGTAATATTTGTTTGTTTTTGTAGTTTTCTCTATGGTAGTCAGTTGTAATTGAGTAGAGAAAAAAATATTTCAGTTGCTCTCATTGCTGTTGCAGTTTCTGTGTCTGCAGCAATGGTGAGCATCTTTTGTTTCTTTTGCGTCTTGCTATCTTGCACCATTCCGAACCAACCTAAAAATTCAACTTCAATGATGACTTCATTTACATGCAAGCTGGTCAGATTTCTTAGTTTCCGTTAAAATTCGCTTTTCTTTTGGTCTGGGTTAGGTCTGGCTGCACATAATTATTGTACTGTTAGCTCCAAGCTGTCGATATGTTAATATATGTGGTCTGTAATTGTCTATTAATTATTCTTTGTTTCTGTGTATCTGAAAATGCTACCATCTCAATAATCTCGTGAGCAGTGGGGATCCAAACAGACCCCCGTTCTCTTTCTACACCCTCAACTAACCTGCACCATTTTTGTTAGTTCTCGATAAGGCTATTTAAGCCCAGTCTTTTTATATCTGCCCTGGAGTTGGAACTTTAGACAACTCAGATATTCCATGGTCTTGTCATACATGAGACAAACGTTGAACCCTAAATCCCTCCTCTGAAAACAGAGACCCGTGTGTAACTGAAGAAGGCCTACAAGGACACGCACACAATGAACCAGCATGAATACGTTAAGGGTGGGATGGAAGTAAGATTAGCGTCAGGATAGAGAGCATATGAATACGTTGTGGTTCCAGATCATTCTTTTTTCTCAGTACCAAATGTCTTCTACTTTGGTAAAGAAAGGACGAAAAAAAAATTAAATCTGTCTTCAGTTGGCGTCGTCTGTGTCTGCAGCAATGGCGGGCACCTTCTGAGTGTGTGTGTTTGTGTGTGTGTGTGTGTGTGTGTGTGTGTGTGTGTGTGTGTGTGACTGTGTGA